ACAACTTTCGACGGCCTGAGACGGGCTAGGAACGCCCTTAGACGGCCAACATTGCCCCACGATGTCTCCAAGATGTGCAGAGAGACCCCCAATTCAGCTCAAGACGGTCGTAAGATCGCATTCAACAAGGCCTCTAAGACGGCCCAAGAAGCCTCCAAGTTGACCTCCCAAGAGGGCCCGAAAAGGGCCAAATCGCTTAGCTTCTAAGGTTATTGAAAGATTTCGGCGTTTGCCCATTTTTGGCTTTCTGACGGCCCAACCCGGCCCCACAGGCCACGAAGATGGCCCAGAGAGTGCCCAAGAGGCCTTCAGGATGGTCCCCAGACGGCCGAAGAGGCCCTAAGGCGGGCCCAAGATTGCCCCAAGCCAGCTCAGGAGACCTCCAAGACGCCCAAGATGGCCCCCAAGACGGCCCCGAAGCGCTCCAAGAGGGCCCAAGTCGGCCCAGAGAGACCCCACGATGGCTTCTGACGGCGTCAGACAGGCCAGGAACGCTCTCAGACAGCCAAAGAGCATCCCAAGGAGTCTCCAAAGGCCTTCAAAGCCCACGGAAGCCCCCAAGAGGCCCGCAAGAGGCTCCCTGGAAGCTCCCAGAAGGCCCAAAGAGTGCTCCACGAGGAAAGTGATTTTCATTTTTCGCGATAGCGACTGCTACCAGCCCCGGCCTCCCATCCGGTAACGTCACGATTCGTGCCGGACGAGAAGCACGACCACGACGACGACGACCACGACCACGACCACGACGACGACGACGACGACGACGACGACGACAACGACGGGAGGAAGGAGAAGGAGGAGGGATGAGGGAGGAGGAGGAAGAGGAGCAGGAGGAGGAGCAGGAAGAACAGGATGAGGAGGAAAAGGAGAAGGGAAGCGCTCTGCAGTAGCAGATCCCTATAGGCATGCGCGCTATGCGTAGCAGATCGTGGTAGGTATCTGTTATCGGAGGTGTTGCTTTATCATTCCTAAATATTCCCAGACGGCGTTGGCGCGAAACGTGACGCTACTGGCTCCCTCCTCCCTCCACCACTGGTAACACCCGCTATCACCCAGGAAGAATAATATTAAAAAATGCGTTTTTGTTTCAATTTACTTATATACATATATATATTTATAATATAAAAAAAAAAAAAAAAAAAAAAAAAAAAAAAAAAAAAAAAAAAAAAAAAAAAAAAAAAAAAAAAAAAAAAAAAAAAAAAAAAAAAAAAAAACGCTCTCAGGGCTCTCGCTAGGCCTCTCCATCCTCCTCCTCCTCCTCCTCCTCCTCCTCCCCCTTCTCCTCCTCCTCCTCCTCCTCCCCCTTTTTCCTCCCTCGCATCTGATTCCGTCTCGCGTTCCCCGAAGGGTGTCCATAACGGCTGGTGGAACACAAAGTCCGATATATTAGCCGAGCTCTGGCCGCTACGTTCGGCCACGCAGGCGCTTCCACAAGGCAAGGAGCATTGGTGATTGGCCGCTGGCGTATTCAGTGGGAAACCTGATCACCGAATTCCGCCGACCCTGTCGGCGTGTGGAAAGTGTCGTCGTCGTCGTCGTCGTCGCTGTCGCCGTCGCCGTTGCCGCTATTGTTGTGCTTGCCGTCGCCGCTCCATTCCGTTTCCCTGGGCCCTCCTCTTCAATCGCCAGCTATAAGGAACTTGAGGAACGTCGTAGTTAAGTCGAATGGAAGCCCCTTCCCTTTGATCCCTTCCCCGCCGGCGTGGGTGGGATCCCTTCTGGGGGGGGATCGTGGAGAGGGGGTGGGGAGAGGGGGCGTGGGGGGGGGGGTTACCGCATGTGGGCCGAATCCCAACCAACTGGGCCCAATCCCAACCAACTGGGACCAATCCCAACCAGGGCGACAAGCAAACTGGGCCCAATCCCAACCTGCTT